GAGGGCAGAAGCGGGGCCGGCGGCGGCAGCCGCCCTCACCGGGGTCCCTTCTGTGTCCTCCCGCCCTGCAGGTCCAACCTCATGGGCACCAAGTTCACCGTGTTCGACAACGGGGCCAACCCTGACCGTGCCAACGCCGACTGGTCCAACGTGCGGCAGGAGCTCTCGGCCGTGGTCTATGTAAGCACCGCGTCCCCCTCCACCAAATGCCGGTGCCAGGGGGAGGTCATTATGGTGGGACCACTCAGAGGACCAAGCTGCTTTCACCCACGGGCTCTCTCCATGCAGGAGACCAACGTGTTGGGCTTCAAGGGACCCCGCAAGATGACGGTCATCATCCCCGGGATGAACGCCGACAACGAGAGGGTGCCCATCCGGCCCCGAAATGTATGTCCAGGGGTGCCACATGGGGTGCGGGCGCTCAGGGGTGGCGGGTCCCCCCTCCTCGGTGCTGCTCTTCACACCCCCAGGGCTCTCGCCCTTGGCAGGACAACGACGGGCTGCTCATGAGGTGGCAGAACCGCAACATGGACAACATCATCGAGCTGCACAACAAAGCGCCTGTGTGGAACGACGAGACCCAGTCGTACGTGCTCAACTTTCATGGCCGTGTCACCCATGCCTCTGTCAAAAACTTCCAGATCGTGCACGCCGATGACCGTAAGTTTGGGTCTGTGGCGCTTCTTGCTTGCCCTCCCCACCTTTTTTAAATTTTTGCTCAGCCCTGGGTTGCACTTGGAGTGTTGCAGCACGGCCTCAGTTTGCAGTGTGACACCATGGCCTTGACCTGCAGCATTGCAGCGCGGCCTTGGTTTGCAGTGTGGCCTCAGCTTGCACCATTGCAGCGCAGCCTTGGCTTGCAGCATTGCAGCATGGTCTTGGCTTGCAGCATTGCAGTGCAGCCTCGGCTTGCAGCATTGCAGTGCGGCCTTGGTTTGCAGCGTGGCCTTGGCTTGCAGCATTGCAGCGTGGTCTCAGTTTACACCATTGCAGCGTGGCCTTGGTTTGCAGCATTGCAGCGTGGTCTCAATTTACACCGTTGCAGCGTGGCCTTGGTTGGCAGCCTTGTGGACTGCCCGCCAGCTCCGGTGACACCAGAGGGAACACGCACGTCACCTGTTGCCAGGCAGATTAGGGCAAGGGCAGCTCCTGCAGGGCGCAGAGCACCCCTGGGTGCTGCGGCCCGCGACCCTGGGCATTGCCCCTCCCCAACTCTCCCATCCCTCGGCCGCTGGGCAAAGCCCCACGGCTGCGCTCGGCTCGCGGCACCAGCTGCCGTCCCCGGCCGCTCGTCACCTGTCCCCTCCGCTCAGCAGCCCTAAGGCGTCCGGGGTGTTGGGTTACAGGCCAGAAAAAACCTGACGGGGGCCCCCGGTTATTTTTACCGATTTCCTGTCACCCTCGCGCCGGTGACAAAGGAAGCCCTGCTCCCACGGGTGCTTCCGAGCACTTTCCGTGCAGCTCCGGATCCCTCTGGATCCCTGATGCCTTGGGAATGGGATGGCTGGGGGGCAGCGTCCTGCTGCGGTTGCGATGGGGAACGGTGGCATTTGGGGAAACTGGGCTGCAAAATGCCAGGCTGCAAAGCCCAGCGCCCGCGGAGTGGCTGGGTTGGGACAGTGGCCGCGGTCCTGGGTGGGCGGGTGGCACTGCACCCAAAACTGAAGGCTGGGTGGGCAGAGGCCAGGGGCAACGCGGGTGCCACAGCCGCTGTCCCCTGCCCCGCAGCCGACTACATCGTGATGCAGTTCGGGCGCGTGGCCGACGACGCCTTCACCATGGACTACAACTACCCCCTGTGCGCCGTGCAGGCCTTCGCCATCGCCCTGTCCAGCTTCGACGGCAAGCTGGCCTGCGAGTAGG